TTCATAAGAAGTAGTTAATGATGAAAAGGACAGAAAAAGTGTGTTTTGTGTAAAAGAAGAGTGTGTAATATTTTACACCTATTGCATAAAATGAACAAATGTAATTTATGTAAAGTATTGTCAAAGGATATAAAATATTGTTGCTGTTATAGATGAACATTTTGACACCTAATATTAGTAAAAAAAGGATTTTTACTTTAATATAAGCTGCTAAAATGTATATGAAGAAATACAGCTTTCAGATGTGGGATTTTGCACACTTTTGGTGAAAAAAATGAAGTGTGGTGTAGATTTGAGGACTTGGATCTCTTTGTTAAGAATGTTGAGTGACGTGTCGTTTGTGTGCGAATGGTTTAAAGTTATAAAGAAGTGGAGAAAGATCTTTTATTTGTCAAAAACTAGAAAAAGGAGAATGTGAAGAAATCCAGTTTCAAGGGCACCAAAGAGGGAAACGAAGGCGTTGAGAACTTCGGAGTTGTAAAGCATGATGGTATGTCAGATAATTTGCACACACACACACACACATACACACACACACACATACATTTATATAGTGATTAAAGAGAATAAAAAATGAGAAATCATAAACATTTGGAGACTGAAATGTTTTTTTTTAAAGCTTGCTGATTTGATAGGAGAAATTTGAAGAATTGTGACTTTTTAAGTAAAAAGTGAGTCCCTGAGAGTCAGGAAGGCAATTCTCACGTGAGCCACTGAACACAATGACAGAAGGGCAAGAGACATCCCTCAAGACAGCAGCAAGCAGAGAGGAAACAGAAGTGAGGCTGATGTGCTGGAGATATAACACAGCCATCAGTTGAAAGGGGGCTTCGGCCGAGTTACTCTTGATCAGTCAGAGAGCCAAGAGCTCCACTGACAGCTATTTCCTTTCTGGACAACTAGAAATGGAGAAAAGGCAATTTCTTCATGAGGGCTTCTTCCTCTGATGCCAGCTCCGGCTTGAGGAGGAAGAGCAGAGGAGGCTTTGCAGCTAGAGTGGTACCCAAGTGAGAATGAAGCAGAACTGCATTACAGTGAGCTCCATTCTGATTGGACGGGGTATCACCCAAGTGAGTGGTGGACCACTTAGCTCAGATAGAACCACTCTGGTGAGTTTTCCTGGATCAGAAAGAGCTGCTCTTCACACGAAGAACTAACACTTTCTAAACACCCTTTTAAGGATGATGGGCAATTGAAAGGGCTTATAAAGACTCTGTTTGAGGAAAGAAGAGATTTCCCCAGCTGAAGAGGTCAACAGCAGAAAAGCGGCTTCGTGTGGTTCAGATGTTCCTGAATAAGCCTGTAGTCCAGAGAGGCGAGTTCCTCTAAGCCCATGCGTTTTCTCCCTCCTTTACCACCTTGCCAGCATCCTTTAAATGGGAGCCCACTTTTCACTTATACTTATTGAGCACATTCGTGGAAGTGTGATCTGGATACACACACACATATATACACACAGAATAAAATGTATATGTGTGCATATATTGCATGCACACATGTGCACTACACACACACGTATGCATCTCACATGTATACATGCATGTGTGCATGTATGTGTTGCTATAAATTGCTATCATGTGTCACACGTATACATGTGCGTGTATCACATATACATGTGTATATATAATGCAATATTTTATTATTTATGTACTTGCTTGTATTTTTTTTAACCTTAGGTAAATGATCATGTTTTAAGATTTCAAAGTGTCATTAGTGTGAGTGGCTGTAGACAAAAATCATATTAAATGGGGGTTCAAGAGCTAGTGTTTAGAAGAGGGGAAGTGTATTTGCCCTCAACAGGCTTAGTCCTAGGATTCTGAAAGAGCCCGAATGTTAACATGTTGTGGGGGTCTATCAGGGAACTTGGATCTGCTGATGCCAAGGGCGCATTGGAAGGAGAGGTCAAAATCAGAGAGAAATGGAGTGTATCATACACCTAGATGAGGGAGGTGGGGTTCCAAATGTGATTCTGGGGGTGTTTATAGTACAAAGTGACCAGACCCCATGCTAACACACTTGTATCATTACGAAAGGAAATTATGGTCAGATAACTGGCTAAGTCAATAAAAACTTATTAATGTCTACTATGTGCCAGGCACTGTGCTAAGCACTGGGGATACAAAAAGAGGCAAAAAACAGGCCCTATCCTCAAGGAGGTTACGATCTAATGGAGGAGGAAAAAAAAAGCAAATAAATGCACACAAACAAGCACTATGCAGGAAAAATGGGAAATAATATTTAAAAGGAAGGCACTAAAATTAAATGGAGTAGGAAATGGCTTCTCATAGAAGATAGGATTTTAGTTGGGACTTGAAGGAAACTAGGGAAGCCTTTAAGTAGAGAGGAGGGACAGCATTGCAGGCAGGGGGAACAGCTGGAGCAAATGGCCAGTGGAGAGACTGAAGGATCTTGTTCATGGAACAGCCAGAAGGCCAGTGTCACTGAATGAAAGATGTGGTGGGGTGTAAAGTGTAAGATGACTGGGAGGGCTTTGAATGCCAAATAATAGGTGATTTTGCATTTGATCCTGAAGGTAATGGGAGTCCCTGAAGTTTATTAAGGGAGAGGGGATTGTCTGGCATCGTAGGACCAGTCAGATAGAGGAATGCCAGAGTCATTAATTAGGAAAACAATGAGATCCAGGGTGTGCCTAAGTCTATGTGCAACTGAGGTGGAGAGAAGGAATTGAACCCAGAATTTAAGAAGACTGAGGAATGGGGAGATCAGGAAGCTTGAGCGAGCAGCAATGGAGATGAGCAATGTGGGAGCAGAAGATGGGGAGGGGAGGACCACAAACAGCCACTCCAGGTACCAAACTTCTGCAGAAAGGCAATGGCCTGGGGAACAGACAGACAACAGCAGCTATCACTGGAATAGGGCAACATTTTTATGCTGTTGACTTCAAAGCATGTGAGCTGCTCAACGATGGAGAGACAAAGGAAGAACCAGGCAGCGGTGGAAGGAGTGTCCCAAGTCTCCCTCCAAGACCAGTGTGTGCGTAAGAGGGGGCAGGGGTGGAGTAAACACGCAGCCTTCACTGGAGGGCATGACACGGGATGCAGTGTCAGATCGGGGAAGGTAGTTCTCAGGGAGGGCAAGTAGATAAAAGGAATGTGAAAGAATTAAGGGGAGTTTGCTCCACATGAAATGAAAATTCCAGAGGAACGGAAGGGTAGTCAGAAGGGACGCTGAGTGGAATGGAAGGTGGGGGTAGTTTGCTTCTACGGGACTGATGATACAGAAATATAAGGACAGGGAGAGCAACAAAGGTGGGGACTCAGGGGGTAGGATGACACGGCCATCAAACCATAATGCTTAGTCTCCGAGAGGCTTGTTGCGAGGCAACAGTCAGGGCACTGGGACCCTGGTTGGCCCACATGCTTCCCCCTTGGGCTGGATGACATTAGGGATGGTCCCTGTGGAGCACAGAGTCCCAACCTGGGCCTAAATTACTGGAAATCTTTAGATGAGAAAGATGGTTTCCATGTCTATGCTCCTGTGGGCTTACTAGCTTACTAGCTGGGCAAGTAATTCAACATTTATTTGACTGGGTTTCTCATCCGTGAGATGGGGATAATAACAGCACCTACTTGCCCTGTCCCCCGCCCCATATTTCAAAGATCAAAGAAGATAATATTTGTAGTGTTTTGCAAACTTTAAATCACTATATAAATTGTTGTAGTTCACTCTTCCAAAGACACTGGGATAGCTAGCCATTTCCTTTTCCAGTTTTATGCAGGCAGGGCTTAAGTGACTTGTCCAGGGTTACACACCTAGCAAATGTCTGATGTCATATTTGAACTCTGGTCTTTCTGACTCTAGGCCCAGTACTTTACCCAATGCACCACCTAGCTGCCCACACTATATAAAAGCTAGTTATTAAAACAGTTCCATTATTAGCACTCAAATGTTATTAATAAAATAGGTTAATATAATTCTCATGTTTATTAATGCTTAGAAACTTTACCCTTAAGGAGCAAAGCAGACTTTTTGGAAAATTTAAACTATAAGTAGATTTTCTTTAAAAACAAAAAACTTTATTTTTTTGTATAACTCCTCCGAGATTTGGTCCTAACAGAATTTTCTGGACCGGTCTCTGACCTGTGCAAACGGCAGGTCAGAGGCAGGCTGCTGGAAATCAAGTCGCAGTTTAATTAATTAATTTCAGAGTGGGGAATGTGGTTTGCAGACCTGAATGAAGGTCCAGTTTCTACACATGAATCACAAGCGGGAAGAGAGTGAGGGGTGGAGGGTGGATTACCACACAATCCTTTCCAGGGCCTGATCGGTTTCCCACGACAAGCCCACGAGTGCAGGACAATACAGGTGTTCTCCAGTCCTGTGGCACCAGGACTCAAGCTGATTGTTTCAAGGTGTGGGGGTTATTTGGTGGGGCACAGGACCAGAGTTCGGTGATGGGAATAGATTCTACAGTCTTTGATTCACTTCACTTAACATTCACAGGCATAGGAACATAGTAACTGTGAGAGTACTGTAAAGAGGTTGATTGATCCCTTTAAGCTGCAGTCTGCCTCCTACTCCCAAGCCAAAATCTCCTGGAAAAAGGCAGCTCTGAGAAATCTAAATTATTAGTAAATTCATTACACATTTCATGTTGAATAATAGGAAAATTGTAATTCCCTTCACAGTCCTCTAGTCCACAATGCAAATAACAAAACCACACACATTTATCATTAACATAATTTAAATTTTTTTTATTTGTGGATAAAAATTAAGGCTCACAGTACTTTATATTGTTTCACAAGCAGGATTTTTTTTTAAATGAGAATTACCCCAGTACAAATTTTTTTAAAATAATGTTGACATATGACTTGACTGAAGACTTAAAATGAACATATCATACAGGGCAGCTATGCTCCTTTAGTAGGCTTTAAGCTAAATTCCTTTTAAAATTAACGGGCAAAAGCATTGGCTTCCTCTCTGCAGGAAAAACAAAAACAAAAACAAAAACAAGTACACTGTGTAAACTCCATAAAACACATTCAAGGCAGGCTGGGATAACAGTTGTCCACTTAACTCTAAGATTTAAAAAAGCCACCCAGCATTTCCCCAAACATACAGTACACGTTTATGTCCCATTATTTGACACAAGGGAATCCTTAAATATAGTAACAATTCTGTACATGAGATATTTTGAAGGTTCTAAACCCAGTAGATGAAAATAATCACTTCTCTAGCAGAGATCACTCTAAAAAGCATGGGGTTGTTACAAACCTCTATAGGAATTATGACTTTTCTGGCAATGGTCACCTGCCAGTTAGTTCAAAAGGGAACAAATGGATAGAAACTTGAAGACTTACATACCATATACATGTACAAGTAGACATATATGATATGTTCATCACACCACTCCTATAAAGATAACAAGTTATTTAAATATCAAATCTTTGCAACACGTTCCAAGAAAACAGGAAAACCCATTCTCTCAGAGCTGGGATCATATACACTCCTTTCTAAACAATGCCTTAAAAGAAACTGTAACTTAACTCTACTGAGGGGAATGAAGGCTTAACATAATGAAATCAAAAATCCCGGTTTCTATTAAGTGCTTTAAGAGATTGGCCTTTGAAAGCAAATGTGGAAATTTGACAGTTTAAAACGACATTTTCCTCCTTCAGTGGTGAAGTTTTAAGCCTCTCTCTAATCACTTATTGTTGGGCAGAGCTAATTGTGTTAGCAGCGGTTTCAAATGTATTTGCCTCCAATTCCTCCCTAAATCTCCTCCTGTTTATCTAATCACTTCTAGCTACCTGTGGTGAAATTCCGCTACAAGACCCACTCAAGCACATCAAGGAGGCTTGTTGGTACCTTTGGTGGTCATGACATAAAAACAATTCCTGGTACATGGGATTTGCCCAAAACTTAAAAATAAAAGATCAGCACCATAGAATGCCTTCCATTCTGGGGCTCTGACGAAACACAACCAACCACAATAGAGCCAAGGGGATTTCTCAAAGAACTCAAGGGAGGAATTTTTCTTATATTGTCAAGTTTTTTTTTTCCAATTAAACATCTATTAACATTTTTCCTACTTAAAATGAATACCAACATTTATAGTATAATTAGGCAAGGGTGTGTATGGAGCCCCAGAAGGGGTACCATAAAGGGCTTCCCGTAACACAGAGGATCAGAGTTTAATTTGACATCATGTGGATCACAGACCACACAAAGGTACCATACACATCCTCTAAATCAATACTGAATATGTCATGACATTAAGAATGAACATGGCAGATAGGAATATCTGATACAGGGAAAGTGGTGGTTCCAAGGTGTTTTTCCTATAACTTGTCATATAAAGCAACAGAAGTAAAAATACACTAATAAGCTGCTGTAAATAAAAGATGACGTGACTGTGGTGTGAAATATGGCTTTTTATAAAACTGGTCTTGAATTTTGAGAGGGGGGAAATGTTGGAAGGTAGTGGAAGTTATAACCATGTAAGAGTCCACTGCGTGGAAATGCTTTTATTTTTTAAAGTTTTGTTTGACTGGACAATGCCTACTGAAGGCGCCAAGTTCAGCACTAAGTGCTCTCGTGAAGCCAGAATGCTGCACCAAGGACAATTCTACCAAAACACTCAAACTTCTCAGGTAGTTGAAGGCACTGGGCCTTTGGCCTCAAGGAAACATACCAGAGGAGTGTGGCCACTGGGACTAAGGATTCTCTTTTCTGGGTAGCATGACTGCCTTCAGTAATTAGAGGGCAGCAAGTACATCATCATCGAAACCCTTATTTTTGACGGATTAATAGCCAGCCATGAAGACAGCCACCCGGAAATCAAATCAATAAAGATAAGGACATCTTCAGGATGCTACTGTGAGACCAAATCTGGCCCAATAGAAAAAGGCATGTGCAAGAGGTCAGGGCAGGTTTGCATATGTATCTGAAGGCTTCTTGTTCATGGAATTCAAAAAAGAAAAATGAAAGGAAGAGTACACATCCTTCGCTGGTGATGGGGATAAAAATCCACCCGACTTTCTGTCCAATATTCACATTCTAGATAAAAGTCCAACATCCTCGAATGCAGGACAAAGAATGAGGGACCAGGAGTCCAGGCCCAGGCCCACCACCTACTCATGGCACAACCTTGGCTAACTCAGTCACCTGACCTCTCAGAGATTCACCTTCTCCATCTGTAAAATGGGCATGATATCGGCACTAGTTACCTCATCACGGCATCTCACAGATTTGATGAGATAACGTAGGCATACGATGATAAACATAAGCTACTCCATCTGAGGGATGCCAATCAGACTGTTACCGGACGACGTGATTCCCGTGTTTTCAGCCTCTCTTTGTGGATGCCAACAGGGCATCTCCTTTGGCTTCCTCTCTCCCATTTTATCACAGACACCAAAGCTTAAGGAATTAGAGGATGAAAGTCTTATATACAAACAGTTTTGTTGCTTCCAGGAAAGCAAGAGGACAGAGGACAGCAAGAGAAAGATGGTCATTTCACATTATTTTAGCCAGGTTATTGTGATTTCAACATTATTGCCTGAACAACATGGAAGAGACTAACAGCACACAGCCAACAAATACATAGTATTTCCACAACTGAACGATATCTACTACACTATTCCATTTGGCAAAATATTTATTTATAACAAATCTGTTCAAAAGCAGTTGGTCATGTTTTTTTTTTCCATTTTGCATTATGAAGTTGTAACAATGGTCTTGGTAAATGTACATAAACTGCCTCTTTTTACGTGGTACACAAAATGTATGGTTTACTGTTAGGTAACCTATATTCTCTAAAGGCATATAGATAGATATACATACATACTCCATCTGGGTTATGACAGGTGGGGCATCCAGGTAAGAGAGCTTTGGAGCTATAGCTCTTAGGGCTTAGGAGGGACCAGAAAAACTCTCCAGACAACGTTCTACGACATTCAAGACTTACCCAGCAGAGGGGATGACAAGAGTGGCTGGCGAGTAAGACCTGCCGTGGAAGGCCCAATGACCAGGAAGTCAGCAGACTTGGGTCCTGGTCACTTCCCCTGTCTGGGTCTGTTTGTTCATATGTGTAACAAAGGGATAGGACTACAGTTTCTTATGCTTTGCATTCTAGACTAACACCAAGCTGCCATGGAGTCAGATTACCCAATGTTAACTCATCCCAGGATATTGGCATGCAGATCTGTTGGGAGTTCTACTGGTATAGAGAGACGGAGCTGGAAGGGACGGGGAGAGAGATTTTCCTGATCTTTTATGTGGCCTCAAGCCAGTTCCCATTTTAGCAAATTAAAACCAACGCTAGGATAAAACCATGGAGCTGGTATGGGCTTTACAGACTTTTGGCCCAGAGATGACTGGCTTGAGGTCACACAGCAAAGCCAGCCTTCAAATGGAGGTCCTCTGACTTGAACACCAGGAAGCACCATCTGGAAATTTCAGTTCATCTAATTCTTCGCCCCGGCCAACATCCTTTCTCCTGACCTAGCTTCTATATTTCATGTGGAAGGACCTGGCTTTCACCACTACTGAAGACATTACAATTACTCCCCTCTTCTGCATCCTACCAACCCACTCTGAACCCAGCCTAGATTCATCCCAGGGGTCCACGAAAGCACCCCCACCACTTGGGAATGGATGTTGTAGCTTTCCTTAAAGGAGATCAAGTTTGAGATTCTAGAAATTCCTGACATTTGGAGACAGGGGGAGTATGTGTGGAGGGGAGCGGGAGAAAGAAGAATTGAGCCTGTAAAAACTTACCCAAGGTCACATAGCTAATAAAGGTCAGAAGCAAGACTCGAAACCCAGGTGTCCTAACTTCTAATCCAGCATTCTTTATTAACTCATTCATTCCTTCTTTCAGCAACACTACAGTATGTCTTTAGCCATGGCAATTATTCGGTGACAATAATTCCGCCAATCAAGGGGGCAACTTCAGGCTTGATGCAAAGAAAAACCTTAAAACAACTAGAGCTAGGAGGGCCTGCATTCAGAAGCTGGCGGGTTCCCCTTCAGAGGGGTGTCCAAGCAAAGGGCTGGATCTTGTCATGAGATCTGCTTTTAGGCCAATAAGGTCCCTCCCAACTCCTATTCTGTGGTCTCAAGTTGAAAAGAAAGAGGTCGCTTGGTCTTCTGGATGAAGACGAAGGTTTGGTCTCCAGCATGCTGCCATTCCTAAACATCGCCTACAGTCCTGGATAAGGCAGCAGGAGTCTGACACGGCTTCACCTCGGCCCACCTGTGAGGCTGCACCATTTCAGAGGCTTGTCACCAAGGAGCAGTCTGATGCCCAAGCTGAGATTCTTAATTTTCCTAATTCTACCCCCTGAGCCTGCTGGGGATATGCCTTCAGGCAGGTATTGGGCTAGTGTGTGACTTCATGTTTCAGTTTACCCAGGCATTCTCATGCTAAATCTGTAAGCAGGGAAACATCACACTTACATACCTGCCTCAGTCAAAAAGGGTCCTCCAAAAATATCCCTCTTTAATTCAGATGAATAAAGGCTCACATAGTACAAGTAACTATATCTAATGTGTAGCCAAGAGAGCACTAGACTGAGGCCAAATTTGAGGTCTATTCACATAATTAGCTGTGTGACCGAGGTGCAGTCACTTCACCAGAGACTCAGGTCTCCTTAACTCATAGGGCTGCTGTGAAGAGCAAACGAGAAAATAGTTTTAACATGGTCTAACAATGCTGTGTGACCTAATTAGGCATTTCTGTCTTCCAAGGATTGTCTTAGGTATGTTATGTTGTTATGAAATTCTTGATCTTTGCTTAAGATACCAAATTCCTAAGCCAGCAGCTCCTCTACAGAAACAGGCACTCCTGACCTTGATGGCCAATTCAGAAACGTAAGACACACCATGCCCACCAGACCAGCTCACTTAAAGGGATCTCGACCAGAAATCTGGAGTACTTATGATACACTGACACTTGCTGGTAGAAGTCTGGTAAATCAGAGGCAAAAAAGACACCATCATCTTTTACAGGAGACGGAGCTCCTTGAGGCTTTGCACAGGTTAATGACTCTCCAGTTTCTCCACTTTGGGAAGAAGCAAACTCTTCCTTTGTCTGCCCAAGGCCTCAGGTTTCACTGTCCTCTGGGGCAGCCAGATGGAAGACTTTAGGATGCCAATCTGTCCCCCAGATCTTAAGTGGAGGTTGGTACTTCTCCGAGAAGATGCTAACAACTCAGACCCTGAGAGAGACAGGTGGCTTGCTTGTGAAGGCCACTGGTTACCACACAACTGAAGGACAGTCTAAGTTGAAAATGACAAGGAAAGCCTTACGGGAGGATGAAGTATTCACAATCCAGGAAAAACCATGCAGTCTTTCTTCTGTTGGCTATGGTCACTACAAAGCTATTACTTTATATTTTGGTAGACCCTAGTGGTGACTGGATTCTAAAAGTTGCTAACATTGTTAGGGGAAGTCCTAGAGAACTTTTCTTTTGCAACTTTAGCTGGAGTTGGCATAAAAAGTTTGTAAAGGACTCCTTCCATCGTCCACAAGCATAAGCTAGACGGCAGGTCAAAGCAGGTCTAAGCATGGCAGACATTTTCACAGGACCTCCAAGTCCTCAGCCCTCCCCCCTCACGTGGCTGTTGTCCCGGGGCGCCTTTCTGTCCTGTTGGTCTCTGTGATTTAGAGCTGCTCCTTTAGGTCCTACAGAACATCAAATTAAAGCCACGCCTCCTCAGCCTTCCAATAACCTGAATCAGGGAATACACGAGAGTGTCTCTCTTCTCAGGAAAAGACAGGGTCAATCACTACTGGGCCATCTGGATCGATGCCTCAGGCCCAAGAGGACAACACCGACGTGGGGAGAGGAAGAGCCAGACCAGGAAGATGGCACCAGCCTCTCCCCTTTGCTGAATGCATCCCTGCCTCAGAGACCAGAGAGGTTGTAGACAAATTACTTTCTTCTTTTATTTTTTAGGAAAAATATTAGCATTAAAAAGTTGTGTGATTCTAGCACATCTGAACCTGAGACAACTCAAACTTCTTACTAGTGAAAAGAAAGAGCTCCCAGGGCTGTTGATGTGTCCTTACCCCAGAGGGTTAGAAAATGGTGCCACACTCTGAGGAATTTGGGAAGGCTTCCCCCGTTCCAAAGTGTCCTAACTTCTACAGCTCCAAAACCCTCCTGCTGTTCCAGGAGTTTGATGGTTTGCTATGTGAATCCCCAGGGAAGGAAGGAACAAGGTGATTTACCTGTTAACTCCATTTCCCCAGAGACTTGTGCCCCCACACCGAATCAGTCAATCACAGGTACTTCCAACAGCCCCCTGCCCCCCACCACCAGGAGAGAGGAAGCACCCCAACAGTCACCCAGAAGAGACGCCTTTAGAGAACAAAGAGGCAGGTCAGTGACCGCAACAGTAAGACCCAGCACAGAACGAATGCATGAACACAAAGGCAAGAGTCAGATGAGTCTGTCTGAACACAGGCCGTGGCGCCTTGGCTAGTTACCCGTACAAATCCTCAGCCCCCCTCAGGGTTCCCACACAGCTCTTCCCTGGCGCCTGCTGCTCCAGGACAGGACCCAGCTGGGAAGGAGCGGCCCCAGCTGCCCTCCTCACAGTACTGCATGTCAACACTGGCAACGTCTCTGATCATTTCAACGGCACACAGCACTTGGATTGAAAAGGAAGTTTATTACTCCCACTCAGTAGTTCCTGGGGGCTTTGACGTTAAGTCATACATAACTCGAGAAATACCCGGGATCTTCTTAATCTCGGTGACCATCTTCAGCACCACCTATGGTAAAACAAAGAAGGTAGAGGTGGATGGGCCCCTGGGAGAGGGGGCTCTGAGCAAGCTGGCACGTGCATCCTACATTACTGTCTGGGCCCCAGGGGTCCCTCTCTACGAGTCAGCACTTCAGGCTAGGCTACTTCTCCCACAGAACGCTAAGTGGCCCAAAAAGAACTGTCTGACTTAGGATACAGCTGTTAAGTCAAGAAGCCGGCTATGTTCTAGGACACAAGCCCCTTTCTGTATTTTTTAAAATAAAGTTACCTCTACAGGAATCTCATTGCCAGGTGTGGCTGCAATACCAGTCATGAAGTCGCTCGTGATAAAGGTGCGGATGACCACTGATCTCTGGCAGGACGGCTGCTTCTGAAGAGGGTCGCGGTCAAAATGTAGCGGCGTCAAAATGACTGGCATCTGACTGATCTTCCCAGCATACCCTAGGGAAAGGCAAGCGGTCAGTCGGCCTCGCTCGTCTGAGGTGACGCGGATGTAAATGATGGGCAAAAGACTTTTTTTCTGAGTAACCACAAACCCATCTTGCCCAAAATGACCTTTTACACATCATCTTTAAAGTCATTAAGACTTTCTGAGTATGTTAACAAAACTCTAATCAGACAGATAAAGCAAATTCAAGAGTGCACAAGGGAAGGGCCTATGAATGGCTAGTACAGGAGCCACCCTGCCAACACCCCCCCCGGCAGGGTCCATGCCACCTTCTCAATCAAGTGCCAAAAATGTTTATTCGGCCCCCGTGTGCCAGGCACTGGGCTGGGAGCTGGAGATGCACAGATCCAATTATATACAAAACAAACATAGGCAGAATAACTTAAAATAAGTGAAAGGTAGTTCTATTCCATGGTGAGGGAGGGTACGAGAGATCGAGACTGCAGAATCTTACCAGACTCCCTGAGAATGTTGTGAGCCTCAAAATCAGCTTGCCGCAGCGTGCTGAGCACTCCGGTGGTCAAGAAGGTGGGCGTGACATCCATGGGAGGCTCTTTGACAGGGGGACCAAAGACATAGACGACCCTAGAGGTCAAAGAATGAGAAAGAGCCCCTCTTTTAGTACAAGGAAGTGCGCTGCCTTTGCTCATGTGTTTCTGGGGAGACTCTACCTAAAATCTCCCATTAATGCATGATCAAACACTTGTCAGACGCTGCTTCTGTGAACACAATGCTCCCCTTCCTGGGGATGACAACTATAGTATGAGATGGCGGAAGGATTGCTGCGTGCTCACTTTACAGGTGACAAAACTGCGCCTAGGAGAATTGGCTAGGGTTACAGCAATGATGTGTTAGAGACAAGCCTTGAAGACGGGCCTTCCAATCCAAGGCCAGAGGTCATCAAGAAAACTGCCCTTAGTGACGGGTTACAACGAAAGGCCAAGCATTTGCCGTAAATAGTAGGGAAGGACAAATTTCGCAGATTCATTACTAACATTTCTGTTAATACTTTCATGATTAGTCTTCATGTTTTTAAGGTTTGAGCCAGGGCCCTGCCTGAAGGTCAATGGTGGCCACACATATGGCAGACATTCAATCCACAAGCACAAGCTGAGTGCTTTTTGCCAGCCTGGGACAGAGACACAAGCACAGACGTGGGAGGCTGCCCAGCCAGCACGCTGAATGGCTGCTCCCTGGAAGCCAGGCTTAAGTTTCTAGTTAAACAGGAGGCGTGACACACAGCAGTGTCAGGAACCCTGGCCCCCATGTTATAGACTTGACAATAACAACAACAATAAATACATACACAGTGTCAACACTCCATCTGCACCATGACATACATGTACATACACAGTCTAGTTTTCAGACTACTCTACCTTCCTCCTTCGATCCCCACAAAGCTAACTGTCTAGGGTCACACAGCTTCTAAGTGTCTAACAAATTCCCGTATTAAGTTCAAAAACCACAAAACATCTGACCAGCGAAAGGAAAAAGCTGGCTTTTTCACACTGGCATCATCTAATCTCCTCTGGCTGCTGTAGAACCAAACAACCTTCCGCCTCTCCAGAATCGATTCCCTGCCCCATTCTCCACAGAAGCTGGTCCAAACTGCCTCTTCTCTCCTCAAAGCTTCTACACTTCCCTCTCCCCCCTCACCCAAGGACCCTGTCCTCTTCTTCTATTGAGACAATTATGGTTATCTGCTATCAACTCCCCCTTTTCCCTTCTCCTCCCCTCAAAATTCCTTTTAATCAGCTTTCACCCCCTGACCATCCTCCAGGATGACATCTGATTAATGAGATGGCCTTTCCCAAGGCCAAACCCGAGCCCTCTAGGTGGCTCCTACTAGCTCCTCTAATTTTCTCTAGCACCCTGAGTGCTCAACCTTCCCACTCATTCCTAATCTTTACCCATCTACTGGTTATACCACTATTGTTTTCAAACACATCCCAAGTTTCCCCACTCCATCTTTCCTTTCTTAATGGCCCTCCTAGAAAAAATAATTTATACTCACTGCCTCGATTTCCTCACCTCTCATTCCTCAACCATCTGCATCTGACATCCAACCTCCTCACTCAACTAAACCTGCTTTTTCCCAAGTTCCCAATGATATGACATCCTGCTCTCAGTCCTGATCCTTCTCAAACTAGGTACTGCAACTATCACAGCTGGCCATCTTTTCCTCTCTCCGGCTGTCTGAACCACTCTCTCCTTTGGTTTCCTCCTATCTGCACGATGAATGTGACAAAAACTCAGGGAAGAGAATATCCAAGAGAAGAGAGTGTTTAAAAGGTCAAGTGGGATGAGGACTGAGAAAAGACCACCAGAGACGGTGATTGAGAGATCGCCAGTAACACTGGAGAAAGTCATTCCATTTGAGTGGAGTTGGAAGCTGGATCACAAAAGTTTAAGGAGGAAGCGCAGGGAAAGACCACAGGTGCTGTTTTCTATGAGTCTGGCTGCAAAGAGAATGAAGATGACAGCTTATGGGGACATAGGGGTACATTGTGAAGGTCTTCAAAGGGTAAGGGATAATTCACATTTGTAGACAGCAGGCTGGGACTCCGTAAATTGAGACAGCTTGACAGGGGAAGGCCTGCAGGGGATGGGGTCAAGGAAGTTGGTTCTGACAAGGACTGGGGCAGAGGAATGTAGAAGAAGGGGTGGGGGTGCTGTCAAGAGCTTCAGAGAAGTAGAGAAGGCAAAAAGAGGAAACCCAAAGTAGACAGCCTCTATCTTCTCAGACGAGAGGGTGGGAGGAGGAAGAAAATACAGATTCCATCGTCAGTCCATAAGCATTTATTAAATATCTATCCTGTGTGAATCACAGTGCTAGGCTCTGGGGAGACAGATGCTAAGAATGTAACTGTCTCCCTTCTCAGCTTCCCGAGGAAAGAGCCTCCAGGACACACTCAGGCAGAGCCCCAGATTCAACAATGTAGTCGCTGGAATTCTCAACAGCCTCAAATTTCTCCCTTTTTAAAAGCAATTCCTTTTGGCACTGGGCGTACACTTCAGAGAGAAAGCAAAACGCTAAGTACCACGATCCTGGCTTAAATTCACTTCTTTTTCTAACAAGAACTTCTGGTTTGAGACAGAAACCACTTTGGTTCAGGAGAAAGAACCGGGGGTTGCACCCACACCAAGGGACCGCTCCAGTCTTCCAAGAGCAAGTGGCCACATACATCTCGCTCCAACAAAAACTCATTTCCACACTTCATTTTTAAGTCCCTTCTTCATAACCACCACTCCAGGAGACAGAAGCATTATTTCCATCTTACATTCGAGAAAGGAGGCCCAGAGAGGCTGAAAACATGAACAATGGAGTGAAAACTGCAGAAAAGGGCAGGACAAGGGAACTTCCATGGAAGACTGAGAGCAGCCAGGAGAAGCGACCGGGCTTCTCTGCGTAATCATGCTCATGAGCACTATTCTAACGGCTAGAGCTATCTCATTCACTGAAAGCAATCATACATGTGCCAATCCTTTGACCATCGATAATCCATCATTCCCACAGGCCGTATCAAGTGGCACATCTGCAGAATGTACCTTGTTACAGTCCCGTTTTCGAAGTCGCACAGCTCTGAGTCACAAATTCCAACAACTGTGTTCCAGCTGCTAAACTGTCCGATTCCCCGGTACCAAGTGACATCCGCAAATGCCATCATCCTGTTCGAGATTATTCGCTTAGCGTTAAAAGCTGATCTGATATTTTAGCACCAAATCCATGCAAAATGAGCCAGGAAATGCCCTTTTCCTTCTTTGCTGTTAGTCACCTAAACCCATTATGAAATCAGGATGGTGGACCAACTGAGGCCAAAGAAGTTCTAGTTATCACAGTTGCTCAGGAGAGCTTGCCTTGTCTATGGCCTCAGACCAAGCCAAGAGAGGAAGAGCAGGCTTAAAAACATGGTGCCTCCAGACTAAAACTAGACTGAAGGGCAATTCAATATTTTTATAAGATCTGGCACCCATTTTTTTGTCTCCAAGTTATTTTTCGGGGCAGCTTGGTGGTGCAGTGGATAGGGCACCGGCCCTGAATTCAGGAGGACCTGAGTTCAAATCCGGACTCAGACCTTACTAGCTGTGCGACCCTGGGCAAGTCACTTAACCCCAATTGCCTAAAAACAAAAACAAAAACCAAAAAACAAAAAAACAAAAAAAACCAAACAAGTTATTTTTCTCAGAATTGTTTCTAATTCAGGCAAATTCCACTTGTTGTCCCAATAATTACTTAAAACCTGAAGACTGAAGCAAAAGAAGAGAAACAGCAGTTTCTATTCTACTACCAGGTCAAACACATCGAGGACCTGGCGAGTTAAGGAGCTGCTACAATTGTTGCCCAAGATGGGAAGAGCGCTTGCCAGGAAGGAATTCTAAGTCCAGGCAGTTAAAAAATATCACTAGATTACATCAATAGTGAATGACAAAAATTTCTCATCAGGTAAACACGTTTTACAAATATTTTCTCAAATAACTTATTTTAAAAAATATTTATTTCCTCTTTTTCCCTTTCACAAAAGACATTCTTAAATAAAATGCTGAGGAATAAGGCTTTAGTCAAGCAGAACGACAAGATACTTCCAATAGGTTTTCTTTGTGGCACCTCGGATCCAGCTCTGCCAAGAAGCCCAACCACTGTCCTTCGACACGTCTTCCCATGAATGCCACTGCTGAATCAGAGCAGAACCTGAGCAGCAAACCTCCCAACATGCCAGAGACATACCTGTTAATGTTGTGACACATGCGTGGGATCAGTCGCGCGAGAAACATCAGAGATTCCCAGTCAGGGTCATCTTTACTGGAGATGCCACAAACATAACTGTAGGAGCGGCAGTCCCCCTGAAAACACACAGCAAGACAAGCCATCACCTGAGTGGTCAGGTGCCAGGGAACAAACGGTGGGTGTGTGTGTGTGTGTGGGTGAGAGAGAGAGAGAGAGGGAGAGAGAGAGAGAGAGAGAGAGAGAGAGTTGAGTGTGCCTCCTCCACTACAGAGGTCAAACATGAAGCCACAACACACCCCAGTGTTAAGTCTTTAAAGGAATACGCCTACATGATACACAGAACTTATCCATCTGCTTCTGACTCAAACTTTGCAAATACAACAGTTGTTCCATACCTTTATTTCCTTTGTAATATGGGAGGACAGCTGCCTTAAATTTCAGGCTAATGTCACAAAATGCAGTTCGAGGAAAAAACATGGTAATCTGTGAAGTGTCAACAGCTTCTTCTTAGAAATATAAAAACAACGCTTATTTCCAGGACCTGAAGCAACAATTCTAGATTCAGTTTAAACTCGTGGGCCCTGCCCTCCAACCAAATGTTAGTTCACCTTCATCTTTATTTCCTAGGTTTTTTCTATTTTCTAGACTTCCATTGTAGCTCAAAGTCCAAAGGGTCCAATATGCTATTTTTCTTACTGCTCTCCCATCATATAAGGAGATTCCAATCCCTTTTAATAAGAATGTTTGGCTTGGCTCAAGAAAGAGACTCCCCCATCTCCCCAACCCCTTGTTAGCAGCTACCTCTTTTCAAATTCCTTAAACTAAGAGCTCCTTAGTCAATAAATGAGACAGCAAGGTGCTGAATGTGGGACATACAGGCAGCACATGAGAATAGAAGATTCTTTCCAAAAATACTGTACACTATTAATCTAGTTCTCTTTGTCTATCATAAGTTCCCAACCTCTCTCTCCCAGGATCTAATAAAAATACCCTCTAAAAAGCTCCCCTCCAATTTCCAAAAGGATACTGAGGTGTTCTTTCCTTAATAGTCATTTGGACCATGTAGACTTTAAACTTTACTTTCCTGTGTCATGCTGATGGGAATTCCTCCCACAAAATGACAAAGCCGAGTGTACCTCCAGACTCCACTCACAAACCTCATCATAATGAAAGTGCTCCTACACTCAGTTCAAAACCATTGAGGAAGGAACACTTCGGGGGCCCGAGCGCACCCCCCCCACAAGGCTATCATGGTCAATCTCGGCATTAAATCCAAGGCGCTGCTCCAAATAGCTCTTCCCTCAATAGGGGAGGAGGAAAGGAAATTTCTCTTCAGCAGCCCTTTAGCGGTCTGGTAGAAAACTACAGGCTTGTGGTCTTTTATTAAAGTCAGGATTTAGTCAATGTTCTCTATTTAATGTAATTAACACAGTCCAAGATCTGCTTTTTCAATATCTCAAATATTCCCAAATTAATTAAAAGGTAATTGAGTGAAGGGTTACCCTTCCATACTAATCAACAGGCTTCACATATATTCAGCAGGGAAAAAACTTTTTAAAAATCCCCTCCACAAGTGAATCCATTTAGGGTAAAAGACATTGATTTGGCATCCATTTTGAGTCTGAGGAAATTTAAAGGGCTATGTAAACATTGCAGGTTGAACTCTTTTTGGTTAAAATGCTATCACTAATATAGATTCATTGTGAATGTCTACATAGAGCCTATATAAAAATGTACGCTGTCTTGGGGTGGGGGGAAGGGACAGATGAGAATATTTGGAACTCAAAATCTTACGGAAGTGAATGCTGAAAACTAAAAACAAATACATTTTTATTTTTAAAAATATTATCAAAGAAATCTCCTCCCTTCATTTTCAAAAAAGAAAAAAGAAAAAAATGCCTAGCACACTATTACCTGGGATCAAACTGGAGATGCATCTCTGACTGGATGTGCAAAAGATCTGCCCTCCAAATCTTGGACTCTCAAGATGACCCAAGGCCAAGGCCAAGGCCATCTCAACTCAAGCACTTATTTTCTTCCTAAATATCTTCCAGCAGCTCCAAACGTGGCATCTGCATTTGCTCCAGACACCTCGTCAGAGCTCCCACTATTCTTGGCTCTCACCACATCTAGCAAACTCACAGACATCCAAGTCTGGATGGAGCAGCCCCGAGTCGAAGGCACACACCTGAGGACACTCACCTGCACCCCCACGGTTTTAATTGGCAGCAGGAAGGCGCTCAGCGAGTGTAGGCTGGTAATCTGCATGAGCTTCTCCTGGTCTTCCTCTGTTGTACAAGCTTTGACTCTCTGTAATAGCGTGTGGGGCTGAGCACAAGGGAGAAAGACAAAAGACTTGAGGCCCAGCAGTTTTCTTGAAATGAAGAGTTCACTATTTGCGAAAAAAAACTATGTATCTCATTTGTCCCTCCAAGCCAAATGGATTCCACAGATCTAATTGCCATAGATTCATTTCCAGCTGTAATTCACCTAATCAATAAGCATTTATCAACACCACCCCCACTCGGTACCAGGTGCTAGGGATGGAAAGGCAAAAATGGGGAGCTGATACCACAGCCCCACCTAGTTAGGAATAAACTGCTACAGGTCAGCTTGTTAGGAAGGCCCTGGCACGGGGGGGGGGGGGGGGGAAAGGATAGCGACCACTGGGCGGGCAGGCGGGCCGGCAGGCAGGCAGGGCCAGGCCCCGCCAATGCCTCTCTAGAAATGGGTGGAGGGACCTGAAGACAGCGGTGAGGCAGCCACGTGGCCTGAGGTGGCTGTACAAGAAGGACAAGGCCTAGGTCACATTCAAGTCTAGAAAGAGAGTGCCAAGGGATCAGAAAGAACACCCTCTCCTGATTCTGAGAGGCTTCATTTTCACTACACTCCATGAATACCAAAGTCACAGGGAGGTCTGTCTTCGTAATGAAATCACCCTTTGCTTTGGCAGTGGATGGTTCACACGGGCAGGATTGTAGGATCTGAGAGCTGAGAAAGCCTCAACATGTATACACAGAGGAGGATTTCTTCATCGGGCATGAGGCAGGGAAAGCCCAACGTGGGGGGAAAGGCCCTTTGCTACATGCTGGGGCAGGGAATCCCCCACATTTCCCATTCTGATAAACTGCCTTTTGGACTTCAGGCCTTGACTAAGAATGTTTGCAGATCAATATGAATGTAAACTCGTGAAAAATTATAAATTCAATGATACAGAAACAGAATTGATCATAACATTTCAGAGTGAGAAAAGGCCCAAGAGATGTTAGTGTAGCCCCTTGTTTCATCAAAGGAAATGAGCCATTCCGGTGCAGGGAGATTCAGGGACTTAAAGGTATGGGTGGCAGACCCAGAGCCAGGGCCCCCTGCCCCTTCCCACGAGGCCACATCAATCAGATGATACTGTCCCAGGCCACCTACTCCTGATGAATAGCCATGGGAAACCTTTGGAAGCCACTGGCACATATTTCAGTACTCCAACTCCCTGAACACAGATTTTCCTATCTACATCCAATGCTGTTTTCCAAAGCAAACTCTTTTTTTCAATCAGAGTTAAAAGATATGTCTCAGAACACTTAAAAGTATTACAAATTCTAAATTAATGGCATACAAATTTCTAAGTGATTAAGTCTAATTAAAGATCAAACCAAGAATTTTGTTATCTATTGTAATCACTAGTTTCTCTCCTTGAAACTACTAACCTGTATAAATTGTGCACAAATATTATTACCTTTTTAACACTTGCAGAAAAATCAGCTACTATTTTCAAAATGTTGTTGGTTTCAGGAAAGTCTTTACATACATAAGGCTCTTCAGCACATATTACTCTTATTGACAGACCTGGACCTAAAAAACAGGGTAAAAGTAACAATCCAAGTATCAAAATAAATAAATAAATGATGGCCCAGCATCAGTATCCAAGTAGCTGCTTATGCCTCAGCTTTATCATCAGCTCATTCAAAACTGGGTACTACAAAAGAGGACAAGTTGCAAATCCCTGGATTTTAAACACTGTTCTAAAGGCACACTCATTCACTTTAATCACATAATTCAATCTGCCAACTGTGAGAGCAGATTTAGGGGAAAGAATGCTCCCATGGTGCAGATGCTTCAAATGATGATACCTTTTGGAAGGAGATGAAAACCATGCAAAATCAGGAAATGAGGAACAGCGTACTCCTGGCCACTGGGAAACGTGCATCTAAAGTGGCACCTGAAAAACCCTGAATCAGCCCCGTCACAATACGCCAAGCCTTCGAGTACTTTGGTAAAGTGAGGGATCTACCACAGAATCAGTTACGGTTCTTCTGGCCATTTCTCCTACAGTGGGAAGATGGCAGATTTGTGGTGCGAGGAGGACCTGCACCATTCTGGGCATGTTATGGAACATCTGCAGGCCTCAGTTTCCTCAACTGTAAAATGAAAGGGTTGGACTAGATCATGTCTGAGGTCCCTTCAAGTGCTCCAACTAAGAACTACAATGATACTTCTCCAACTGCGAAGAGATTTTCCAACCAGATCAAATTTGTAAGTGTCGTGACAGAGAAATACACTGATGGGCTTTGGCTGGATTAGGAAGGGAGGTCAATTAGTGTAAACATCAAGGCAGATGACGCAGTAATGATACCTTGGTACATTTATCAATCTCTTGAAGGTTTACAAAAAGCTTTTTCTTAGAGCAGAGCTGTGAGGTCGAGTCACAGAATTTAGCGTTGGAAGGAAATGCTGGCCACTGCAGGACTGTCACAGGATCGTGGAATCCCGTAGAAGGAGGGCTAATGGGGCCTCAGCCTCCATCCAGCAACTCTGCCTCCCCTTGGAGATGAGGAAAGTGATGTGCACCAGGTCACAGACGTAGCAGGTGCAGGATTCAAGCTCAGCATCCCTTCCAGTGGCTGCCTGGGGCTGGAAGAAGCATCTGAGCCAAGCCCCAAGTGCCTGGGCCACCTCTCGCTCAGCTCCAGGTATTTCCAGAAGCCTTACTCGGGTATAAAGGGGTTCTGCTGTTTTCCCAGAACCACATTAGAAGCACATTCATTCACAAATGTCAAACAACTGCTGAGCTATCCCTATTGGCATGACTTGGCAATAGCTCCTCCTTCCTCAAAGTATTATGGCTGGTGGCAGGGCTAGAATTCAAATCCAGGTGCTCTATTATATTGGAAAACCAGGGCTCTCCGTACTATAACTCCAACACAAGTATTATCATTCCATTTTACAAATAGGGAAACTGAGGCTGACTGAGGTCACACACAGCAAGTAAGCAGGAGACCTGGAATTCAAAAGTCAGTCTCTCAACTCCAAAGGCCTTTCCAGGACACACTACTATTGGTATATTAAGACAGCATTTTCATGGAACGTACTTTTTTTTTTAAGGGTGTAGACATCAGCACTAAGATTCAAGCATCTACATTAAAATGACACTTCTCTCAGGTCACCTGCCTAAGAAATCGGTTATTCTTCATAGCAAATATGGAATAGAGCTGTTTTCTCCTGGAAACAAACAAGTAGAAGAGAAATTCATGCTTTACCCTAAATCTAACACACAGACATCGGGGGGGATAAGCCTAGCGATGGACACAGAGTCACAGACATGGGCTGGTAGCCCACCAGAAAACCGAGGTAACCACCAAGGGCCTCAGTCTGCTCGTGACTAAAATGAAAACAATGTGCTATCAACCTCACAGGGCACTGCAGGGAAAGAGGTTTGCAAACCGGAAAGACCTATAAAGATTCAAGTTGTTCTACGCACTTTCCAATTCAGTGAAAAAGGTCTTTAAGGTCTATACAGTTAGTGCACAAAAAGAAAACACAGAAATGTTTTACCCACAGGGAAGCTCCATTTCCTTGAGCTGCACATGAATTGGGCCCAGCCAAGCTCTAGGCCACAGGCACAGGGGCCCTGACCCTCCACCTCCACTCATCACTTACACTGAAGGCTTGGGCCAACAGACAAATGACTGTTTATCCTTCTGTGCCTGGCTTGTTATGGGACACAAAGATCTCACCACAGATTACACCGGACCCAAATACATTCTTTACCTGGGAATGGATGTCTAGAGACCAGCTCTTCTGGGAGACCGAGTTCTCTGCCTAAAATTCTCACTTCATCTTTATGGAAGTCTTTCAGAGGTTCTATTACTTTTCCCTAAAAAGAAAACACAGTTGTTCAACATAACACATATCTGCTGGGGCTGCAGAATGCAGAAGGCGCCTGGTGCACCTGACTCCAAAAACCATAGTTGGTAACATAAGCTGGTCAATAAAGATGTGCCCTAAGGTAGATCAGAGGGGGCTATTCCCCATCTATTTCTGCTTACAGGGAAAAAGTTTGAGTTTTTTGGGTTCTTGTTGTTTTTAGGAAAAAAGAATGTTCTGAAGTACCTGCCCAGTATTGGCATAACAAATATTTCCTCAAAAGCCAGCTCCTTCTGAAGCTGCTTCTCCAAACACTGTTCAAGGCACTGGGACAGATACAAAGCTGATCAATACATGCCCTCATGAAATTTAATTTGAGCAGAGGAAATACAACAAGCCACATCAGTGACATCCTGTATGATAACAGAAGGGCAGAGTCCAACAGGAGAGTGTAACCCGGGCTCGTAATCCTACGTGCTTCATACTTTACAAAATACATCACGTACATTACCGCACTCGATCCTCACAAGCCAGCGAGGTGGGCACCATTATTGTCACCATTTTACAGAGGAGAAAACTGAGAGGGGCTCAGTGACATGTGCAAGGTGACACAGAGACTATGGGCCCAAGGCTGGGGTCTGCCTGACCCCAATGCCACCCTAAGTTCTAAGGGAAATGGATGAAGTAAAATCACACCCCAAAGGGAAGAACAGTATCAGGGAAGGTGTGGAAGGAAGTTTTTGGATGCCGGGGACGGGGAGGGAGCAGCAGTACCGGTGCCCCAGAGACACCAACCTGGAGGTGGGAAACAACAGCAGGGCCTGGTGGGAGCCGAGTCTACATGAAGGGAGGCAGTGGGAAGATCAGGTCGGCAAGGTCAATGTCAAGGGAAAGAGTCTGGCCTTTATGCCAAGGAAATAAGAGCCACTGAAGTGCCCAGAGCAGGATGCTTATTGGGAGATCTGTGCAAAAAAGGTCTTCTTTCACCTTGGGGGGGGGGGGTAGGAGAGCAGGAAGGAGACTGGATTAATATGATTAGCGAAATTAATTACCAGTGAGGAAACCTCCCCCCCCAATGTAGATCAGCAACTACCGTGCCGCCTACAGCCTTGGAGCTGCCTACCACCCTGAGAGGTTAAGCAACTGGCCAGGGACCCAGAGGCAAGCTAGCTTGGAGGACAGGCGGCTGAGGAATTCCTGATTCGGAAGCCAGCTTTCTAAGCCCCGTACACTGGGCATTACAGTGCAAGGCTGCAGGAAGAAAACTGCCTTTTTAAAAACAACTGACTACCACCACTTTTGTGTTCATTGTAAAAGCTTATTTTCATGATACACGCTAACAACTTAGCAACTTTTCAACATATTCAATGTAAGAGATCATAGAAATGTACTTCAGTATCTTCCATCTCTCCGTGAAAATCCAAAACACTCTATTTAAAAACCCAATCCAAGGGTGTGGTAAAAGGTTAGTAGGGTATGGTAATGTAAATTACAGTCTTTAAAGCAGGTCTTTTTTCCCTAATGTGAAGAATTAAGTCCTCAGACACTTGACACTTAACTAGCTGTGTGACCCTGGGCAAGTCACTTAACTCCGATTGCCTTACCAAAAAAAAAAATAATTAAGGGGACATTTTTTGATGCCTCACTGATTTACTTCATATTTTGAAAACAAGACTAACCTCTCATGGTATGTAAAACTGCATCAGGCAAAAGGCTGGAACAAAGAGAGAAAAGAAACAGCCTCTGACCTCCAGAGACACAGAGCTCAACTCTAGCATGTTAAAAACAGCTGACCAATAGTCAAAGTTTGGCAGTTCAGGTCAAGTATTAAACCTATCTCACAGCTCTGGGCATTTTCTCTGGCTTATCCCCCATGCCTGGAAGGCTCTCCCTCCAGATTTCTGCCTCTTGGCTTTCCTGACTTCCCTCAGGTCAGGACTAAAATCCCATCAATCCTATCTTCTACAAAAAGCCTTTTCCAATCCTTATCTCTTTTAATTATTTGGGACTTAATCTATTTAGCTTGCTTTCTATATGTTTGTTTTCTTGTTGCCTCCCCCATTAGATTCAGGACAGGGACTGTCTTTTGCCTCTTACTATATCCCCAGCACTCAGCATAGTACCTGGCACATAGTAGGTGCTTAATAAATGTTTACTAAGGTGATATCTACTCAAATCTGTTTTTCAGGTCAGTTTTTGCTATGAGATGCCTCACATTTTCTTCCATTTTTTCCACTGTTTTTATTTTTAATATTTTTTAATGTCTTATGGAGTCAGTCATTTGGTCAATTCTAATTTTCAGGGAGTTATTTTCTTGATTAAGGTTTTACATATTTTTCTAAACTTTTTTTCTTGAAATGACAAGTAGAAGCTATCTAAAACCAAGAGCCAATATTACATTTAACTGGGATAAACTAAAGGTGTTCCCCCCCCCAAAAAAAAAATCCAGGGCAAAGATGTATATTATCACCATTACTATTCAATATAGTGCTAAGAAATGCTACCTGCAGAAATAAACGTTAAAAAGAATTTGAAGGAATAAGTATAGACTAAGAAAAAACAAAATCATCAATTTTTGCAGATGAAATGGATTACTCTGAGAACCCTAGAGAGTCAACTATAAAACTAAAACAATAACTTCACCAAAACTGCAAGACACCTACACAAATCATCAGCATATATACAGATTTCCAAGAAAAATGTGAAAGAGAATTTCTATTTAAAATAGCTACATATAGGATAAGCTACTGGGGAGTCTATCTGCCAAGACATACACAAGAACTATATGA